CAGTTCCCTCAGTCTCGCCTCATACGGCATCCCCTGCAAACCGGCCACCAACCTTGTGGCCCTACACTGCACTGACTCCAACCTGGCTATATCCTTTCTGTAATGAGGGGCCCAGAACTGAGCACAATACTCCAGTTGCGGGCGCACCAGAGCCGTATAGCGTGGCAGTAACACCTCTCTCGATCTGGAAGCCACGCTTCTGGCCATGCAACCAAGGGTGGCTTTCGCCCTCTTGGCCACCGCGTCACACGGCTGGCTCTTGTTCAGCCTGCAGTCGACCAGCCCCCCGAGGTCCCTTTCATACTATCCTAGCAGTTGCTTCTCTCCGGGATACACGTTGTGCATCAGTGTTGCACTCATTTCTTTTCAGAATCACCCAGAGGTTCTTGCGCCCCACACAGTCCATGGCTTGGCCGTAGTGTAGCAGAATCTGAGTCGGCAATGGGATGTGGCTGCCACAGGGGCAAATGCTCTTTTGGGCTGCGTTACTGGAAACCGCGCTTCCAAATCCGGTGAAGTCCCAGCTCCCCTTTCCTTGGCCCTGGTTAGACTTCATCCACACAGCACTGGGCTGGATTGCAGTATATACCTCTGTGCATTATGCATTGTTCCCTTTTGGATTGGGACTGCTCTGCTGCAGGCGGGCAAGTCAGGATCCCCCCCCCCCATTTGCTTCCAGAAATCCCTCCCTGGGTTTCATGGAACAAGCCAAAGCAACCTAAAACCCCTCCTCCACTGGGATCAGCTCAGAGATCTCTTTTTCGAAACCCCTCGCACCATGACTTGGGGCCCTGCGTGCTTGCCGTGCATAGCTGCGCGGTGTGGGATTCGAAGGGTGCATCGTTTGGTCCTGTGCCTTACGGAAAGCAGTGGGACTCACTTCGGAGTAGGTGGCACTGGCCCACGCTGCCCCTGTGCGGAGGCGTTGCATGTGGCTGGTTTTCTCATTTAAACAGTAGCTGTAGGGGAACGGTGTGATGGGGGGGGGGACCCATGGCGGGAGGCTCCCAGGTTGGGGGGGGCCCTTCTGGGGGCAGATGATTCTGGGTGGTGGGAGAGACAGGCTTGGGAAAAGCTGTGCCCAGAGCCTTTGCTGTGCCTCGGAGGCCACCGGAGAAAGGGCTCTCGGCGCCATGGAGCAGCCTCTGTGGCTTAATTTGCCAAGAGCAGTGACTCAGCGCAGGCCCCTAATTCCAGAGGCGCCAGCCTCTGTTTTATTCTCTGCCTGCCAGAGCATCTTTCTGCACTTCCATGTTTTAACAATCCTGCTTTTTCAGGGGGCACAGCCTTGCTCCCTGTGCAGAAGACAAGACCTCACACAACATCCAGCTAGTTTGATGCAGGTTTTATGGATCAGAGTCTACTTCGAAGGATGCCTGAAGTTCAGGTTCATTAAGTACCGCATGCCTGTTCCAGTCAGCATAAGTCTTCCGAAGGGAAGATTTCCAAAATATTTGTAATATCCCAGTTGTGAAGATGTAGCAGCATCATAAAAACTTCTCACCTGTTCTGTTTACTGAAATGTTGCTCTTCCCAAACTTGGGTGAATGCCACTTTTACACTGATTACTTACATTGCAGTTTGTAGCCTTCTGACCTTTATTACCATGTTTTGCAGTAGCATTAAGCAATGTACATTTGCTCTTTAAACTGGAGAAGACACCCTCATCTAGGAGGGGCTCCGTGTGGGTTAGAGCTGCATTCCTTCCATATTGGAAAGGATGCCAAGGGCTTGGGATGGTAGGTTAACCGCAAACGCCAGTGCCATGGGATTGTAACATCTGCTTTGGCTTTTTCCAGAGCCTGAGGCTGGCGAGGTGTCTCCTCCGGTGGGAGCTGGTGTGAATAGCAACAGCTGGACCTTTAAATATGGACCGGGCAACGCCAAGCAGCCTGGTCCGGGTGAGTTGCCAGACAAATTCATTATCCCAGGATCTCCTGCGATCATCTCCATCCGTCAGGACCCACCAAACAGCCAAAGTGACAAAAGTGACTTCATAACCTTTGGCAAGAAGGAAGAGACCAAGAAAAAGAAGAAAAAGAAGAAGGGAAGCAAAGCTCAGGAGAAAAAAGAAAAGGGCAACAGCACCACTGACAACAGTGACCAGTGAAGGGTTTATACTGAACAATCTACTTAGCCAATTTTTGTAATTTTGGAAGATCTCTCCTCCGTAGCAGCTCCCAACTTCTTCCTACTGTTAACCCATTTCCCGTATGTGCAAGACTTCAAAATTCGCAGGGAATTCACACTGTCTGTCTAGATTACTTAACAGGTTTTGTCTTGAAAGCTTTATTAAGCCTGGTGTTAACTCTTTTTCTCCACTCTGGCTTGTTTTCAGAATCTAAAAAGCAGACACAAGTTTCTTTTCTCCTACGCTGAAAAGGAGACTCCACAATACAGCCAGTGCGAGGTTGGACTCTTTGCATTGTGGTTCCTGTGATCCTGTCCTGGTGACGCTTATGGGTGGGGGGTGGGGTGGGGCGGGGGGGGGAGCAGATCACTTTTGGTGTTGTGCACCCGGTCGCTGACTGGACGCCGTGTGTGCCGACTGTTGGCTCGTGACGCAAGATCAGGCAATGATGATGCAAGAAGAGCCTCTGAGGCGTGAGCGAGCGAAGGTCCTTGTGGAGGCTCATGTGCAAGGCCGAGCAGCTGGGATATCTCCAAAATGTGCCAGTAGGTTTGCCACGGTCAGACAGGTTGGGTGTCACATCCGGGGCCGTTGCAGCCCTCCTGTGCACACTCCAGGGAAAAGGGACACTCACTCACACAACCGGCATACGCGAAGCGCAGCGCCTCTTCTTCCAAGCCATTGGCCGTCCTGCCACAATAAGGCCTTTGTTCTCCTAGCAAGGAAGTCCCTCAGGGAACGCCTGCACCCTCCCCTGCTCTTGGCTCCGCGACTTGTGCTGGCCGGGGAGTGCGGGAGCCCCTCTCTCGAGGCGGCCGCAGCAAAAGCCACACGCAAAAAGACGCGACAGGGACTCTGGTGGGCGGGGACCCCCTCGCTCCGTCTGGGGCCCGGCCGTGAGGCGGCTCTGGCTTTGCCGCTGGGCGTGGGGTGTCTGTCCAGGGCACATCGGGGCCTCTGGAAGCCGCTGGGCAGACGTGCCCTTGGAGTACGACAAGGGAAGGAAGGGCTGACATCTCAGGAATGTGACTGACTGTGATGTTTCCTTTATGTCCCTGTTTCCACTCTATTTAACTTTCTTTTGCACATAATCTCTCTGAAAAGGTCAGAGTATTTTCCATAACGCATATGCAAAAGTAAGGACAAAACCCCCTTAACTGTGCTATTTGTGATCTGATATCTTTATTTATAAAGGTAATATAGCTGTAAATGAAGAATACGGTGTTCTTGAACCCAAACAGAAAATTTACAGCCATTAGAGAATATAATTGCTGCTATTGAAGTGCTTTAGAAAAAATTGCCTGAAAGATCTGTATTATATCCGCCAGCCACAGCTTTCTTCTGTCACGTCACTGGTTTGGGGCGAGGAGGGGAGTCTGCCTCTTGCATGCATTAAGAAATACAAGATTTTCTCTTTCTCTTTCGGCATTACTTATCCTGCACTTTGAATACACGACATTTGTAGGCCAAGTGTCATCGGAGGAAAGCTGAAGCAAGCCCTTTCTCACGAAAGCGGGTCAGTGGCCTGCTTGCTCTGCGCAGTGTCTTGTGTTATGCTCTCCCACATGCCTTTCCCGGGTTTTAGTTTGGCTTTTCCATGGGTTTCTCAATCGCTGACCCTGACAGCGATCACCCCTCTGTAAAACTCAAGTACTGTAGGTATGCTGTATGCTCTTATAAGTATCCCGGAATATTTATTCTGTGCTCGTGTATGTGAATGTCAATGGAACTATTACTTGTGTGGACATGAAGCTTTACTGTTGAATGTACATCCATTTTTCTTCTTTTGCAAGCTTGTGAACAAGTGGAGTAGTGTTGAGACTTTTACGCACTGTTACTTATCCGTTTTTGTGTATGAATTGAAACACAAGTAAAAGATCTTTCTTAAATCCAGCAACCAGTAAATTGCGGAATATTATTTCAGAGGTGGGTGGGGAACTACGAGGCGGAGCAGGTTCACCTCCGGACAGATAAAGGCATGGCGGCTATCGGAGGGGAACAGCTGCATATCGAACGGGACCCGAGGTGTGAAGGAAGGCGATGCGATTGCCCAGCCACGTTTTCTCCACAGAGTAAGGTGGGCGATCCTGAGCTCACTTCCAGCCATCCCTACGGGGCAGTCGCGATGCCCGGTTGACTCCCTTCTGTATGGTAAACAGCTGTGCCAGTTTTCCTCTAAGTTTGCTTCTTGAGGTTCGGGGGGACTTTCTTTTCAAAAAGGTCTTATGGTCTCGGGCTGGCCAGCCTTTGCGGTGGGGCAGACAAACCATTTGGGTGAGGGGTGCAATCTGGCAGGTCGGGAAGCTGCGCAAGGGCCGCCACTGGGGCAGGGTGAAGGACAAGGACTAGTGCAGCTGAGCAGAAGGCAGAAGTGGGGCTTGGCCCCCGGCACTGAGCAGCCCCTTGGAGCCCTCGGCACCCGCAGAGTCTTTCGCCACGACCCCGGCTGCCGGCAAGGCAGTGCTGGGTGCACACGATGCAGTGGCCTGCTGTGCCGCATGGTCACGCCATGGCGACCCGGGGGAGGCAACCGCCCCACAGCCACGCCCTGTGGCTGGGACTCTTTGGCTCATGGTGGGCTTCCCCGTGGCCCGACGTGAGTGGCAGAACCCGTCCCGGGCCACAAGAGGGCCCCCGGCACGGGTGGGAAGCCCTCGGCCATGCTTCGTGCTTCTCGCGCAGCCAGTGGCCGCGGGCCCCTGACTGCCACCTCCGGAGTTCCACAGGCCCCCGCCCGCCCACCCCCACCCTGAGCCGCAGCAGAGCCGGGAACCCGGAACCCAGGGAACCCCTCCGGGGGACATGCCGTGGGCCCTCAAGCCAGCAAGCCGTAGCGTGTGGCTTGTGCCACAGTCCGGGCCACCAGGTGGGGCAGGTCTGGCTAACGTCTTAAGAAAGCGTGGCTGCAGGGGGCCCTTCGGCAGGATGGGGTGCTGCCCGCTCGCCCTGTGCAGGGCAGGGCTGTGATCTTGCAGCCCGTTAGCGGGGAGTAATCCACCCCGTCCCATTATTGTGGGTTCAGGTGCAAGTCTCTAAAGGGATTTAGGGGAGGAAAACCTGTTTGGAATCCTGAATTATCGTAGCTGGAAGGATTGTGAAATCAAACATTTAGCTTGTTTTCTAAGAAAAACCGACAGTGGTCACTTTACTAGCAGAGGGTGCAGCAGCAGCAAGAGAGTGTGATGACGTGGGAGGGGGTGGGGAGCGCCCAGCAGTGAGCGAGGGAGTGGAAACGGCACCGCAGTCTTGGGCAGGTGGCTGGGGCAGTGTTTGTGAGGCTGCCGTTCACCCATCCTTCACTGGGCCCTGCTTTTCACAGCACCGATCCCCCGCGCCACCCAAACATGCGCTTCCCAAAGCCCGAAGAGTCCCTGCATGGCCCTGAAAGTCTACCGAGGACAGTAGGTGGAAGAGGAGATCAGGAACGTGTCGCTCTTGGCTACCAGCGTCCGGCTCAAAGTGCTCTGTGAATGTTTTAATGCTCGCTCTAACTGTCGGCCAGAGAGAACATCTTGCCTCTTTATACCGTGCATTAAAATGGTCTCAGATTTGCTCACAGCTGAGCTGGTTGTCATTTGCCACAATGGCGGGTGTTTCTGGATGGGCTCTGAGCACTGCTGATCAAAAGGTGCTGTGACTATGTTGTTTCCTTCATTTTTTAATAGAAGGATGGACCAAGCTGGGGGGAAAGAAGGGGAGACTCCCAGGTGGAAGGCAGCAGTGGAATGCCCCAACTCACGCTCAAGAAAGGGTAAAGTTGTGCATCTCAAAGATCTAACCTGGAATAACTTCGCTGAAGCTTAAGGGGCTACTTGGAGCAATTCCAAGGGAGTTTTGAGATGAGACTGCCATTTTTAACTGCTGTTGCTATGTAAGCAATTCGATGGGGGAAACACGCTTTGTGGCTGCTCCGAAGAGCATATTCCCAGCCACCCTGCTTTTGAAAGAATTGGTAGAAGACCGACCGTCATGAATTACTCTCACCAGTTTTCCAGGTCCCTGTGCGATGCGGTGCTGTTGTGATGAGAACTCTGTTACAGAATTTGCAGTTGTATCTTTGCCTTCTCAGTATGATGAAATGTCCTGTCTGGAGTCGTGTGAGTGTGAGTGTACATGTGTGTGTGCACCCACCTGCACATGCAAGATCTAGTGTGCTTTTGAGAGACTACCCTGTGGCTTCTAGCTATTAAATAATTTTGAGAAATCACATGGATTCGCTGTGGGACAGGTTCATTCTATTTGCCATAATGATCAATATAATACTATACTTTGGCGATGGGTGCAGCATAAAAATGCTATAAATAATAAATAAATAAATAAATAAATAAATAAACAAACCTTTTTGGAAACTTCGTACTGACCAGGCCTGCCCCTTATTTCTTCCAGACCTGCAGAAGCAAGACCCCGGGAGCGGGGAACTCAAGCGCCACACCCTGATGGAGCGTTCCGTGCGTCTCTCATTCCGTGGCACGCGAGTGGCTCCCGTGCAGCCATCCAGAGATCTTCCAGAAGTCCCCCTGTGGGCAGTAGGCAGTGGTGCAGGCCCAGTTGTGTTCGCTGAGGAACAGCAAGGCAGCTCCTCAGTGCCTCCAAGGAGCACCCTTGGCTCCCCACTCTCTCAACCCCCTCGGCGCATCATGGCCTGCATCCCAGGGGGACACACGCTGCCACTTTCACGGAGATCTGGGCTCAGTCAAGGTGGAAGCTGGCTCTTGTGCGGCCCCTGCGTTCAGCAGCCTCCGTTTCCAGCGTTCGTGATCTAGCTGGCAGAGAAGAAAACTGCGGATTGTCCAGACCCACAAACCACCCTCTCGAAGGACCCAGCTGGTTTGAACCTGCTAACCTGTTCTTTCAAAAGAAAGCTGAAGCCCTGCAAGGCATGCTGGGGAAGACGGAGACAAAATACACCTACTCGGGTGTCCTCCAAGTCGCTTTTGGGCAGCATCGCAATGTAGTGACTAGTCATGATAGCACAGCAGATGATTTCAGAAGGGTGGGGAAGAAAGACTGGGCCATCTTGTTCTTCCCCTGTCCAAAAACAGGGAAAGAAATCCTGCTTCTGCAAACCCTGAGAAGCAGTTTAAGGTCCCC